CTCCAGAAATATGTATTTATTATGCGGCCCGCGCTCGTCATTCTTTCAGTTATCCGGCCCACTGTGAAAAAAGTTTGGTGACCCCTGGTATAAAGCAGGGAAAACAATCCGAGCAAATTGTAAATACAGCTGATCGATTATTATCAATCCGGCTGCTTCCAACGTTATCCTGGTGGTCCCGGGCCGATCCGGCAAAGCCGCTCCAAAGGCTGTAACGAGTCCGACGAACAGCACCGCGCGTATGACAAAAAAGTAGCCACGCTTGATTTCAGCGTTAAATATGATAAATACGGTACATTATACACTACGTATAACTTAACGATAATACTGCACGTGTCTATAAATCACCCCACGATGCAGAGTATTCGAGATTGGGGCTGTAAGTACGGTAGACAGTCACTTTTTAAAGTGGGATATTAGTCTGTTTGTATGTTTATCTGTGACAATTTCGAATGAACAAATTTAAAACACCAAATCAACATACAACAACGCCTAAAAACACAAGTGTCGTACAAGAAAGTGCAAAATATAAGCTATCTTAAATCATGACGATTTGGTGATTACATTTTGATTTAAAGCTTTCGTGACTGCAGTAATTCATATTCTTAGTTTTTTCGGTAAAGTCACGTTTTTATTGTTTTATATATATTTTATTATTTTGTTGTTTCCCTTCAACGTGACTTTACCGAAAAAACTAAGAATATGATTTGGTGATTATCCGGCATGTTTGAAGAATCCGGCGCCCCCTCCACCCCCCGGAATAATCGATGACCTCCATCCCAAAGTCTAGATTTGAAGTTTTCGTGACCGCAATAATCCACACTCTTTGGTTCTTTCGGTAAAGTCACGTGGGTAAAAAGAAAAAATAAAGTTGATCAAATCACGACGTTTCGGAGGCAACACAAGCTTCCGTCATCAGGTGTAACTAGCACAGCGACATTACTGTAAAGAGAGCTATTTTGCAATAAGAGACTATTATTATTATATAGGGTAAGAGGAGGGGAGGAGCCAGGGAGGACGGATGCAGGGTGGGGGGGGGGGTTGTTGGGAGACGGGGATGTCAAAGTTCAAGATGTTGCTCACTGCACCACGGATGGTGGGGGGGGGGGGCGGCACTTCTTGGGAAGACTCTGCCATAGAATTATCCCTTTGCCGTTTGGCGTCAACGGAGCACCTTGAGACCACAAAACTTAAATGGGGAAGGCGTTAGAATACAAGAGGCTGAATCGTCACCGCTTGTTGCGGACCCCGCAGCGTGAATAGTCGGTGAATAGGCGGACATGCAGGGGGGGGGGGAAGGCGGACTTCAGACGCAACCACGCATTTATATCGTCGCTCACAAGGGAAGACAAAGTATGGTAGGCACGGACATTCGCGCTTACGTTACTTTATTTTTAGATTTTGTTGGATCACAGTCAACACCCACCGCCCGCCACTTCCCCCCGCCCCCGTATAACAGTGGCCAAATACTCTAAAACGCGTGACGTTAGATTCTAAATGTGGCGGGGGAGAAAACCAGAGGGCACGGAAAAAAATCTACGTGACCACGGGGAGAGAGACAAACAAACTCCAAATATACAGCAGCAGGCGTCAGGGTCGGGATCGAACCCACGACCTCCCATATAGACCAGGCGAGGGAGTTAAACATCTCCTAACCACCGTGATGATGAGAGAGAGAGACGCAAACACCAAACATACAGCAGTAGCAGGCATCAGGGTCGGGACTGAACCCACGACCTCCTGCATACCAGGCGAGGTAGTCAACATTTCCCAGCCACCGTGGTGCCATTTGTGTTTTCAGCTCTTTGCAAACGATACACGTTGGCGTATTTGCAAAACAGCCACTGTTGCTCCGGTTTTCTGCGCCTCGTTGAAGGTTGTGGGGACAACGAACCCCTTGATGGCAAGAGACGGGGAAGTTGTCACAGCAACGGTTTACCCCGTATATTTCGGAGAGGGAAATTGGGTTTTTAGGTCCATGGGACTTTGTAGGATGAACGTTGAGATTTATAAGGGGCAAGGGAGGGGTGGGGGGGGTGACCAATAAGGTCTGAAGTGGTCTGCAACAAGGTGGGGCACTGATAAGGGGTTGTAACAGGTATGCAGTGGTGAGTGTAGTGGTGAGTGTAGTAGTGGTGAGTGTAGTAGTGGTGAGTGTAGTGGTGAGTGTAGTGGTGAGTGTAGTGGTGAGTGTAGTGGTGAGTGTACTAGTGGTGAGTGTAGTAGTGGTGAGTGTACTAGTGGTGAGTGTAGTAGTGGTGAGTGTACTAGTGGTGAGTGTAGTGGTGAGTGTAGTAGTGGTGAGTGTACTAGTGGTGAGTGTAGTGGTGAGTGTACTAGTGGTGAGTGTAGTGGTGGTGAGTGTACTAGTGGTGAGTGTAGTAGTGAGTGTAGTAGTGAGTGTAGTGGTGAGTGTCTATTTGTGTTTCTCCCTCGTGATGGGACTTTGTAGGATGAACGTTGAGATGTATAAGGGGCAAGGATGGGGGGGGGGGGGTGACCAATAAGGTCTGAACTGGTCTGTAACAAGATGGGGCACTGATAAGGGGGGGGGGGGGGTGTTGTGACAGGCGTGAGAATCTCCCCACTGCTTCGACGGTCGTGACCACGTGCACCGCCGCCGCCGTAGTCACAGCCGCCGCCGTAGTCACAGCGTGCCGTCGTCACAGCGTGCTGTCGTCGTCACAGCGTGCTGTCGTCACAGCCGCCGCCGTCGTCACAGCCGCTGCCGTCGTCACAGCGTGCTGTCGTCACAGCCGCTGCCGTCGTCACAGCCGCCGCCGTCGTCACAGCGTGCTGTCGTCACAGCGTGTTGTCGTCACAGCCGCTGCCGTCGTCACAGCCGCCGTCGTCACAGCGTGCTGTCGTCACAGCCGTCGCCGTCGTCACAGCCGACGTCGTCACAGCCGCTGCCGTCGTCACAGCCGCCGCCGTCGTCACAGCGTGCTGTCGTCACAGCGTGCTGTCGTCACAGCCGCTGCCGTCGTCACAGCCGCCGCCGTCGTCACAGCGTGCTGTCGTCACAGCGTGCTGTCGTCACAGCGTGCTGTCGTCACAGCCGCGTGCTGTCGTCACAGCCGCCGCCGTCGTCACAGCGTGCTGTCGTCACAGCCGCTGCCGTCGTCACAGCCGCTGCCGTCGTCACAGCCGCTGCCGTCGTCACAGCCGCCGCTGTCGTCACAGCCGCTGCCGTCACAGCGTGCCGTCGTCACAGCCGCCGTTGTCACAGCGTGCTGTCGTCACAGCGTGCTGTCGTCACAGCCGCCGCCGTCGTCACAGCGTGCTGTCGTCACAACGTGCTGTCGTCACAGCTGCTGTCGTCACAGCGTGCTGTCGAGCGGCGCCGCCTTGGGCAGGGGGTTATAACCGATCCGCTCGTTGAACGACTTCTGCCTCGCGTCTCGCGAAGTCGTCGGAGTTTCGACGCCTCCCGTCGCCGCGTCAAGACGCTCCCTGCGAGCCTGGACCCCACCGGCGGCGGGGAGGAGGAGGTGGGGAGGAGGTGGGGAGGAGGAGGTGGGGAGGAGGAGGTGGGGAGGAGGAGGTGGGGAGGAGGTGGGGAGGAGGTGGGGAGGAACACACGAGACCGTGAAGGGTTTATGGCAATCAGCCGTTTTCTTATCTCTTTCGGTAAAGTCACGTTGAAGGGAAACAATAAAATAATAAAATATATATAAAACAATAAAAATTCTCACGACGGTTCGACCATAACACAAACGGTCGTCATCAGGTGTGCAAACCGACACACCTGATGACGATTTTTATTGTTTTATATATGTTTTATTACTTTATTGTTTCCCTTTAACGTGACTTTACCGAAAGAGCAAAGAATATGAATTACTGCAGTCACGAAAGCTTTAAATCAAAATCAGCCGTTTACACATATATATGTAATTAAAACAAAAGCGAAAAAACCACACGGACGTTTCGATCGCAACCACAAGCGGTCTTCAGCAGGCGGAGCTTTTTCTTTATATCTACGTGACTTTACCGAAAGAACCAACAATACGTAAAAGAAAATTCACTTATAACAACGTCCAGAGCCGTTTGGCTGTCCGCCCGATGCTGCTGCTGGTTGTAATTGCTGGCGAAACGTCGTACTCAAGATTGTAAATGTTGTGGCTTTGCTCATTGGCCGTGTCGGGTGGTGGCGGGTTTAACGACACATTTATATTTACGTGATCTGACACACACACGCACACACAAACATTAATAGATGATATTGGTCGCGAAAGCCTAAGACGTGTTAAAGTTACAACGTATTAACCTTACATCGTTGTGACCGTTCTCGCCTAGATTCCCTACCGGGAAAGGTGAACTATGCTCGGCGAGGCAACTAGGCCCCAAGACCCCACCTCGAGGAAAACCGCGTTACTTCGACCCACGCAACCCCGGGAGGGAAGTAACTAGAACAGGGAGACACCGGGACCGGGACTCGAACCTCGATTTCCTTCTTCACGGCCTCGAACTCCTCCAGATCCTCCAGCTTCAACTCCAGCCGCGTCGGTCGCCTGCGGATCATCGCTGATCGGTGTACCGCGTTCACTTTGCTTCGCGAAATGCGATTCGATTCCTGAACGTTAGGATTGCGTTTGTCGATTGCCCATTGGCTTAACACACCGTTTGCCTGAAAGACAATTCACATTGGCCGAATACGCACGCGATTCCATGGGAATAGCAATCGCAAACGATTCTTATTAACTCAACATCAAAACGATTCCAAGAAGATGATTCCTAGTGAATCAACACCCAAACGATCTCTATTGACTCAACAAACGATTGCCATTAACCTAACGCGCAAACAATTCCACGTTAGCGCTTAACACGCAAACGATTCCCCCATTGTCTCAACACGCAAACGATACCCCTACGGTTTGATAGTTAATAACTTAGGGAATCGATTCGGAAGGTACGCACTGTGCGTGAATGAGAATCGAATTAATTTTTTACTTTTGATCAACACGAATCGATTCCAGGGGTGGGGGGGGCGTGGCGTGGCGGCACGGGCTCGGGTCACGTGGGTTTCTGCCAACAGGTACAGTAGTGCGTACAGTGGGAGGACGCGTGTTTGTGTGTGGCGATATTTTGCAGTCAAATTAAACGATTTCAACATTTTAAGAGTCTCAAGGCACGGGAAAAAACATCTCACACGTAGGCTTTCGCGACCAAGATTCGTAATAAATGATTTGGGGGACGTTGGGGGGGGGGGGGCGATTGTGATAAGCTGACACATACGTACGCTATCTAACTTTTTAACAACAAAACGTTAAGCGGAGTTTTGAAAATAAAAAAACGCCTCACGATCATCGGCAACCGTGAACCCCCACCCCCCGCCCCCCCAATCGCTGCTGTGCATTTACACATTTTAAACATCCAGTGCGATTATCCGCTATCGTACCGTAACGCTGCCACGGGGTTTGGATGTGAAATTGGTCCCGGATTCTCGAGCTGGAATTGCGAATCCAGAAGTAGCCGGTTTCTTAAATCTCGCTCCCCCTCACCCCCCTAAGCCTCTTGTCCACATCACGGTGTCTAGGAGATGTTAGCTACCTCGCCTGGTGTGCAGGAGGTCGTGGGTTCGATCCCGACCCTGACGCCTGCTGCTGTATATTTGGAGTATGTGTGTCTCTCTCATCATCATCACGGTGGCTAGGAGATGTTAACTACCTCGCCTGGTGTACAGGAGGTCGTGGGTTCGACCCTGACGCCTGCTGTATATTTGGAGTTTGCGTGTCTCTCTCATCATCATCACGGTGGCTAGGAGATGTTAACTACCTCGCCTGGTGTACAGGAGGTCGTGGGTTCGATCCCGACCCTGACGCCTGCTGCTGTATATTTGGAGGTTGCGTGTCTCTCTCATCATCATCACGGTGGCTAGGAGATGTTAAGTACCTCGCCTGGTGTACAGGAGGTCGTGGGTTCGATCCCGACCCTGACGCCTGCTGCTGTATATTTGGAGTTTGCGTGTCTCTCTCATCATCATCACGGTGGCTGGGAGATGTTAACTACCTCGCCTGGTGTACAGGAGGTCGTGGGTTCGATCCCGACCCTGACGCCTGCTGCTGTATATTTGGAGTTTGCGTGTCTCTCTCTCATCATCATCATCACGGTGGCTAGGAGATGTTGACTACCTCGCATGGTATACAAGAGGTCGTGGGTTCGATCCCGACACTAACGCTTGCTGCTGTAAATTTGGAGTTTGCGTGTCTCATCATCATCACGGTGGCTAGGAGATGTTAACTACCTCGCCTGGTGTACTGGAGGTCGTGGGTTCGATCCCGACCCTGACGCCTGCTGCTGTATATTTTTAGTTTGCGTGTTCTCCCCGTGGTCGCGTGGATTTTTCTCACCCAACCCCATCATCCATCCCATTGAAAAAAATCAGCACCCCTGTATATTGGAAAGTCCAACGTGGTTTTATGGGTTGGCCTGTCTCTACCAAAAGGACGTGGGCATTTTCACCAAATGGCTAAGAACACGAGATGAACACCGATGCATAAATGCTCTTTTTCATATATATATATCTCTGCAAACCACTTTGTTACGATGGTGAACAGCACTTTCCCTGGCAGTCTGTTAAAGGCTACATGGCAGGGCAGGGATCTTTGTGTTGTGTGTCTCGTGTGTGTGTGTGTTAGGTGCAGGCCATGGCTTGCCGTCTCATCACCTGGGATGTAAAGGACACGATCCTGAGAGTCAGGTACGGGATTCACTCGGCGCAACAAAAATCGCAAAGTGCGTGCGGGGGTGGGGGGGGGGGGTCTACGTACGGCCAAGTATACTTGCTGACTGGACATTTCATATAAGTTTGCACCGTTTTCAATACCTTCTGGAACGTGGTTGTTTATGTTTTTTTGGCTCACTTCTATGTGCTTCATAGCTGTTGTTTGTTGTTGTTGTTGTGTTTGCCTTTTGTCATTTTTGGTGACTCAGGGCCACTCTTGCAAATGAGGCTTCATCCCGGCCACTCGATCTCTTACCTGGTCACGTAAAATCACCCCGAAATTTGATCCTGCTCACTCACTCACTCGTGCCCACGTGCCAGGTATTCACTGCCCCCCCGTGCCCACGTGCCAGGTACTCACTGCCCCACCGTGCCCACGTGCCAGGTACTCACTGCCTACCGTGCCCACGTGCCAGGTACTCACTGCCCCACCATGCCCACGTGCCAGGTACTCACTGTCCCCCCGTGCCCACGTGCCAGGTACTCACTGCCCCCCGTGCCCACGTGCCAGGTACTCACTGCCCCACCGTGCCCACGTGCCAGGTACTCACTGTCCCCCCGTGCCAACGTGCCAGGTACTCACTGCCCCACCGTGTCCACGTGCCAGGTACTCACTGTCCCCCCGTGCCCACGTGCCAGGTACTCACTGCCCCACCGTGCCCACGTGCCAGGTACTCACTGCCCCACCGTGCCCAAGTGCCAGGTACTCACTGCCCCACCGTGCCCACGTGCCAGGTACTCACTGCCCCACCGTGCCCACGTGCCAGGTACTCACTGCCCCACCGTGCCCACGTGCCAGGTACTCACTGCCCCACCGTGCCCACGTGCCAGGTACTCACTGACCCCCCCGTGCCCACGTGCCAGGTACTCGGTGGGGGAGCAGTACGCCCACGCCGCCAGGGAGCTGGGCGTGGGGGAGTTGGACCCCGAGTCCGTGGACCGCGTGTTCTCCCGCACGCACGCGCGCTGGGCTCGGGCTCGCCCGGCCTACGGGGGCGGCCAGGGCCAGACGGCGCCGGCGGCGGCGTCGGCGCCGCCGTCCTCGCAGAGCTGGTGGCACGGCGTGGTGCGAGACACGTTCGCGGGGTGCGGCGTGCGCGATGACGCGATGCTGCACCGCCTCGCTCACCGCCTCTACCAAGACTTCTCCCACGAGAAGAACTGGGAGGTGACGATGCATTGTTGTTACTATCATTGGCATGGTCGTTGTCACTATGACGACGCGCTTCTTCTCAAGAAACGCTTCACCAAAGACTCTACGGGACCTGTCCAAGTTTGGCGAGCCGACGTGGTTTGGGCCCGATACCGGTTGCATAGCACGCTATCATTTAGCTGTGGGAGGAAAGCGGAGAACCCGGGGGAAACACATGAAGAACAGGGGGGAGAACGTTCACACTCCACGATCACACACTCCACTCTCACGCGCTCCACGATCACACACTCCACTCTCACACACTCGCTTACTCTCACACACTCGCTCACTCTCACATACTCCGCACTCACTCACTCTCACACATACCACGATCACACACTCCACTCTCACACACTCCACTCTCACACACTCGCTCACTCTCACACATACCACGATCGCACACTCACTCACACTCACTCACTCTCACACATGCCACGATCACACACTCTCACCCACTCGCTCACTCTCGCATACTCCGCTCTCACTCACTCTCACACACTCCACTCTCACACACTCCACTCTCACACACTCGCTCACTCTCACACATACCACGATCGCACACTCACTCACTCCCTCTCACTCACTCTCACACATGCCACGATCACACACTCTCACACACTCGCTCACTCTCACATACTCCGCTCTCACTCTCACTCTACTCACTCTCACACATGCCACGATCACACACTCACGCTCACACACTCTACGATAGCACACTCACTCACTCTCACACACACACTCACTCTCACATACTCTCACACACTCAGCCCTCACACATACCACGATCGCACACTCGCTCACTCTCACACACTCAGCTCTCACACACTCCACGATTGCACACTCACCCTCACACATACCACGATCGCACACTCACTCACTCTCACACACTGCAGAACAGGGGGAGAACGTTCACACTCCACGATCGCACACTCGCTCACTCACTCTCACACACTCACTCTCACTCACTCTCACACACTCACTCACTCTCATATACTCCGCTCTCACTCACTCTCACTCACTCTCACACACTCACTCACTCTCACACACTCACTCACTCACTCTCACACACTCACTCACTCACTCTCACACACTCACTCACTCTCACACACTCACTCGCTCACTCTCACACACTCACTCACTCTCACACACTCACTCACTCACTCTCACACACTCGCTCACTCTCACACACTCACTCGCTCACTCTCACACACTCACTCACTCTCACACACTCACTCGCTCACTCTCACACACTCACTCACTCTCACACACTCACTCACTCACTCTCACACACTCGCTCACTCTTACACACTCACTCACTCTCACACACTCACTCACTCTTACACACTCACTCACTCACTCTCACACACTCACTCTCACACACTCACTCGCTCACTCTCACACACTCACTCACTCTCACACACTCACTCACTCACTCTCACACACTCACTCACTCTCACACACTCACTCACTCACTCTCACACACTCACTCACTCTCACACACTCATTCACTCTCATAAACTCCGCTCTCACTCACTCACACACTCCACGATCACACACTTGCTCACTCTCACATACTCCGCTCTCACTCACTCTCACTCACTCTCACACACTCACTCACCCTCGCACACTCGCTCACTCTCACACACTTGCTCACTCTCACATACTCCGCTCTTACTCACTCTCACTCATGCCACGATCGCACACTCACTCTCACACACTCCACGATCGCACACTCCACGATCGCACACTCACTCACTCTCACACACTCTGCAGAACAGGGGGAGAACGTACACACTCCACAATCACACACTCGCTCACTCTCACACACTCCACTCTCACACACTCCACTCTCACACACTCCACTCTCACACACTCCACTCTCACACACTCCACTCACACACTCCACTCTCACACATACACTCACTCTCACATACTCTCACATACTCCGATCTCACACACTCACTGACTCTCACACACTCACTCTCACACATACCACGATCACACACTCACTGACTCTCACACACTCTGCAGAACAGGGGGAGAACGTACACACTCCACAATCACACACTCGCTCACTCTCACACACTCCACTCTCACACACTCCACTCTCACACACTCCACTCACACACTCGCCTCTCACACATACACTCACTCTCACATACTCTCACATACTCCGCTCTCACACATACCACGATCGCACACTCGCCCTCACACACTCACTGACTCTCACACACTCACTCTCACACATACCACGATCGCACACTCACTCACTCTCACATACTCTGCAGAACAGGGACAGAACGTGCACACTCCATGTAGAAAGAGCGCCCGAGTCAGAAAAAAACCCAGGCACGTCCTGCTGCGTCGATTCATGCACCATGGTGGCTAGGAGATGTTTACTCCGTCACCTGGTATACAGGAGGTCGTGGGTTCGATCCCGACCCTGACGCCTGCTGCTGTATATTTGTAGTTTGATTGCCTCTCTCTCTCTCCCCGTGGTCGCGTGGATTTTTCCCCGGGTCCTCCATGGTTTTCCCTCCACATTTAGAATGTACGTCACATGCCTTAGAGTATTTGTCTTCTTGCTGTAAATCGACACATGACGATAGCCACTTGGTTGAGCTATCATTTCTGGCGAGGTCGCTTCTGAAAAAGAAGCCATTAACCTCGATGAGCTTTACCTGGTGAAGTCAAAAGAAAGTTTAGTTTTTATTAGCATTTCTTTTTAGCGATTTGCTTACCTTTTCCTACGCTTTGCACGCCTATCGTGTTTTTGTATCGTTTGTTGTAACGTCCTTACATGGCCCCTCCTGGACATCTGTGAAAAAGAGCTTTATAACTCATCGGATTCCTCCTGCAGTTCTAAATAAAGATTCTGCGTCTACAAAAGAGCTTCTATATAGCTCGGTGGGCCTTACCCGGTCAGTAAAAAAGTATGAAGTTTTAGTAATAGGTTTTACCCTTTTAACTGGCACAAAAAACTGACACCTTTATTCAAGGCATCATGTTTGCAATAACCACAACACAAGCAGTCAAAATGCAAACAAAAAAGACAACTCTGATAATAATATGCACTGTCCTTGAATTTGATTGGTCCACACCCGAGACGGCTTTTTTTAGAGCCTAGTCTCCACTGGTGTTGGACCAGAAGACGCCAAAAGGCGTCAGAGTTATTATCAGAGTTGTCTTTTTGTTTGCATTTTGACTGCTTGTGTTGCGGTTATTGCAGACACGATGCCTTGAATAAAGGTGTCAGTTTTTTTGTGCCAGTTAAAAGGGTACAACCCATTACTGTATCTTGTTACTGGCAAAGGAGGTCTCGTAAAATAACAAGTTTAAGTTTAGTCTGACTCGACACCTGACCCCAGGTGTTCCCGGACGCCCTGCGAGCTCTTCGCCACTTCCACGCCCTCGGGATGCCCATGGGCGTCGTCTCCAACTTCGACGGCCGCCTCGACGCCCTCCTCCGCAGCTGCCGCCTCCGTCACTTCTTCCTCTTCGTGCTCACCGCCGACTCGCTCGCCGCCAAGCCCGACCCGCGCGCCTTCCGCGCCGCCCTGGCGGCCGGGGGCGCCGCGGACCCCCGCGTCGCCACCCACGTGGGGGACGACTTCGCCAAGGACTACGCGGCGGCGCGCGCCGTGGGCATGAGGGCGAGGCTGCTGCTGAGGGGCGGAGCGACGAGGCCCGCCGGAGCCGACCCGGCGCACGTCCTGCGCTCGCTCGACGAGCTGTGCGAGCGCGGGCCGGACGACTAGCGGGGCCCTCCCGCCCCCGCCCCCTCACCCCCCCCCCTCACCCCCCCCCCCCCCCCCCCCGCGGCGTCACGTCGTCCGCCAGCCAAGTCACTGCCGGCGCCGTGCGAGCGCGTAGGGCGGTGTTCTTCATCGCTAGGCCCCGTGGGCCCCTGGTGGCCTTGAGTGCCGCCTTTGCAGGTGGCGTGTGGTGTGTCCCCTCCCCAACTATTGAGTGACGAACGCTGCTGTGTAGGCCACGCGGCGCGGCGGTGGCGCAGTTGTTACCTCGACGTCACGGGGCAACGACCCTTAATGTGGCGTAAAGAGGGGCCGTTTGCGAAAATATCGCCTATTATATTTATATATATTTTTTTGTCTATTTAAAGCCGTGTTACTGACGATGAATGCGCTGTGTTTTGGATTGCGAGCGATCGGTATTTGCGTGGGATGGTTCTGCATCAGGGGAGTGGGGGGGGGGGGGACGTTAGATCTTCAAGCGTGTTTTGAGTTTCACCAGAATGAGATCTTGAGAGAGACACAACCCCCAGGATGGGAGTCTCATTCGCAAGGGTGACCTGGGTCACAAAAAACTATGAAACAAAAGCAACGGCAATGATGCAGATATATAAAATCGGAGCAAATGTGGAAAGGATGTTGCTTCTCTGTACTGAATGCGACTGGTTTTGCATCGGATGTCTTCTCCGTACATATGTACGTACGTTGAACTTCTTTCACGCTGTACGTAGCCAACTGTGCTAATGGGGAGGTGTTGAGTCTATGGTCAGTGTTGAGTCTATGGGCAGTGTTAGTCTATGGTGCAGTGTTGAGTCTATGGGCAGTATAGGTCTATGGTGCAGTGTTGGTCTATGGGCAGTGTAGAGTCCATGTGTCGTGTTGGTCTATGGGTAGTGTTGAGTCTATGGGTAGTGTTGAGTCTATGGGCAGTGTTAGTCATGGGTAGTGTTAGTCATGGGTAGTGTTGAGTCTATGGGCAGTGTTGAGTCTATGGGCAGCGTTAGTCTATGGGCAGTAGTATGTATGTGTATGGGTTCACGGGACACGGAGACGGTGGAGTAGAGGCAGCACTGTTTATTTAACTTAACAAGGGTTACACTGGAAGGGGTAACGGCCCCTTCACCCGTACACACGCTGGGACACCCCCTCGGCTATCTAGCCTAACTCCTGTGCTCCCAGTTCCTCCGCTACAGGCGCTAGAGGAGGCTATCTGATCTGGCCCTGGTCAAGCACAGGTCACGGCACCCCACCAACCAGACCGACCCTTAAAAGGGCTCCGGCTCTGAGGCTCTGGGGCCGCACCACCGGCTTGCCCTGCCGGCCCTCAAAAGGACAGCGGTCAGGGAAGTGCCAGGGTCTATCTAGCCGGCCTTCCTTCTTCACTGGTTCTTCATTCTTGGCCCCAACACACTGCCCCGAGCTCTCTGGCTCCCCGCCCTTTATACCCATACACCACTGAGAGGCGGGGCTATAGCGGACGTGGTTGTTTCCACCATGATGTGACTGTGTGTTACCTTCCCGCAACACCCCTACATCACCCCCTGTACAGCCCGCAGCCGTCCCGGCTGCAACAATATTGAACAAACAATGCAACAAAATCCCAAACCGTGTGTGCCTCATAATAACCGAATGCCCCAATAAATAACCTAAGCCCCCCCCCCCCCCGCATTCAACCGGAATCACGCGTCAGCGCAGCAAAAGGAGACATAACAGGTGAGTAAAAACAGTGTGAACAGAACAAGTGCAACAAGAAGACAACATTACAAAAACCGGCGTGTTTTGGCACGAGTCCGTTTTGCGGGGCCATCGTAGCGGGGAAAGCCGGTCGGGCCGGTGGTGGGCGCTGTCCATTCGGGTGCGCAACCCTCCGGCATCCCGGGAGGACAATCCCCGCCCCCGCCGGGTGGCGCAGGCGGCTGGAAGGCCGTCATTCTCGAGGCACCTGAAGATGGAACAGTCAGTGGCAGATCAGGGGCAGGCGGCGAAGTCGCCATCCGGGAGTCAGCGGACACATGCTCGGCCTGTGTAATATGGTGGAGGGACGCGCGGTGCCACAAACGGCTTCAGGCGTGAGGGGTGTACATACCAGTGACGTTTCCCCCACTGAATACGAATACACTGTGGCCGCATGATCTGCAGAATTTCCACAGGACCCCTCCATGGCCGCAACAATATCGCCGAAGTTGCCAACGGGACTTGAGGGCAGTGCAGCCAGGGTCTGTCACCCGGGCTCCACGGGAGTTTTGGGCAGCTGCCTCTCGCGCCTTGGTCAACCTCAGGATATTAAATTTGACATGGTCGGCCAATTTCGATTTTTCGTTTGGTTTGGAGACCCACAGCTGGGCCTCAATAGGTGGATCAACATCGCGGCCGTACATCAGAAGAATGACGAGAATCCGGTCGCCGCGTGAGGAGCCATTCTGTAGGCAGCCAAAACCCCCGGGATCTGAAGGTCCCAATCGGCCTGGGAGTCACACACTTGGTGACACAACATGGACGTGAGGGTCCTATGAAGGCATTCCACTATTCCATCCGTTTGTGGGTGATAGGGGGAAGTACGGATTTTTTTTGTACCGAGGAGCGCACACACCTCGTGCAGAAGGACGCAAGAGAAGTTCTTCCCTTGGTCAGTCAGCAGCCGTTCGGGAGCACCTTTGTCGAGAACATAGCCCTGGACAAAGGCCTCGGCGGTGGCTGCTGCTGTCTGGTTGGCGAGGGGCCACGCCATAGGCCATCGAGTAAAGTATTCTACGCCAACCAGCAGGTACTTATTACCCCTGGTGGTCGCAGGGAAGGGCCCCAATATATCGAGCGCGACGGGTTCATTAACTCGAGAGACCGTGATAGATTGTATCGGCGGACAGGCGCCCCTCGCTGGTGGCTTCCGTTGGGCGCACTGAGTACATGCACCCAGGAGGTGATCCACATCCCTTGCTGTGCCCGGCCAGAAGAAATCTAGCTGGAGCATGGGTTCCTAGGTGCAAAACTCGCTCGTGAGCAGCCCACACGGCCTTACCCCACAGAGCAGAAGGCACCACCAGCCTGTGACGGCGGGCCTTCCCATCCCAATGCATAAGGAGCCGCTGGTGCAGCCCGAACGAATCAACCCCCGTCACCCCCCTCATGGAACCCCCTGCGCGATGACGCAACGCGAGGAGGGACGCGTTCTCCATCTGGAGGCGCCCCCATTCCGTAACAGACAATCCCAGCAAGGAGTCCTCTCCCCCCTGCTCGATAGGACCCACAGACACAGGGCCCTCGGTGGCGGCAGCAAAAATTGGAACATTTAAAGCGGGGCTGTCATCCGGCGGCTTACAACGCCCCGATCCCTTGAGACAAGCGCAATCTGAGGCGGGTGGCAGGCGAGACAGCGCGTCCACATTTGTGTGTCGAACACCTTTCCGGTATGTGGTTGTGAAATAATAATCCTGAAGGACCTCGAGCCATCGAGACAATTGCCCCGAAGGCTGTTCCACCCGCAAGGCATATTGCAATGCCGCATGGTCTGTACGGACGGTGAAGTGCCGGCCGTACAGATATGGCCGATATTGTATAAAAAACACAATGGCTAACAGCTTCCGACGGGTGACGCAGTATCTCTGCTCCGCCGGAGACGAGACCCTACTGCCGTAAGCCAGAACGCGCTCCACACCTCCGACAACCTGTGAGAGCACACCCCCAATACCCGTATTGCTGGCGTCCGTATCGAGCAGGAAGGGTTCAGAAAACTCGGAGTAGCTCAATGGCGGGGCCCCCACGACAGCGTCGCGAAGGGAACGGAAAGCGGTCTCCTCGACCTGGCCCCAGTGAAATTTCACTCCCTTCGCCGTCAGGGCATGTAAAGGTTTAGCAATGGTCGCGAAGTCCGCAACGAACCGCTGGTAATAAGATGCGAACCCAATGAAACTCCTGACCTCAGCCACTGAGGTGGGGGTCGGCCAGGAGCTGACACACTGCGTTTTTGCGGGATCGGTGGATATGCCCGATCGGCTGACGATGTGCCCTAAATACCGCACGGATTCTCGGAGCAAGTGGCACTTCTGTGGTTTGAATTTTAAATTTGCAGCGCGCATTTTGAGGAACACGGCGCGCAATCTTAGGTGTTCGTCAAACGTCATGCTAAATACAATTACATCGTCCAGATAGATCAGACAAACGTCCCATTGTAAGCCAGCCAAAACCAGTTCCATAAGGCGCTAAAATGTCGCCGGAGCTGAGTGTAATCCCATAGGCAACCGGTTAAATTGAAATAGGCCGTGTGGTGTACGGAATGCAGTCTTTGGTCTAGACTCGTCATCCAATGGAAGTTGCCAGAATCCTGACAAGTCCAATGTTAGTGAAAAATCGTGCCCCTGCTAGAGCATCCAGAGATTCGTCCATTCGGGGGAGTGGATATGCATCGGCCACCGAGATTTTATTTAGGCGACGAAAATCCACACTAAAGCTCAAGGACCCATTGTGCTTTTTCACAAGCACTATGGGTGCCCCCCATGGACTGGTGGAAGGAGATATAATTTCCGCAGCCAACATGTCGTCCACAGCCGTTTTAACATGATTCTTTTTGGCAGGGTTCAACCGAAAGGGATTCTGACGTACCGGGGCATTTGCACCCGTGTCGATGTGGTGTCGCAGCAAATTCGTGCACCCAATATCATATTTCGTGCTTGCTAAATACGTCAGCGAATTCAATCAAAAGGTTCCGATAATCCGGCACGCTGGGAGTCGGATCGTTCGTTCAGGAACACAGTGCGTCCATCCAACTATCGTCCTCAATGGAACGTGGCCGAGTTGGAGGGTCAGCCCCCACATGTCCCATAACCGTTTCTTCTACGGGTACCGGCGTCGCGTGTGCAAGCACGGTCCCTTGGGGAACCACAGCCGTCTGTACCCCGACATTAAGGACCGTGATGAATGGGTCATCGCTCCCCTTCAAAATCGTTTGAGCGGCCACCAAATCCAGCCCGTTTTCCCCAGCCTTTGAGGGCCCTAACAGCACACCGTGGTCCGAAACACCCGGCGCGAAAGGTCGACGCAACCGAAGAGGTACGAGCATTTGCGCGCCCGGTGGCACACGCACAGTACGAGTGACCAATGCCTGTATCGTCGCACAGGCCGTCCTTGAGGTGACGGGGGAAGGCAGGAACATTATACGTCGGCCCGAAGGGAGCTCAATGCATCCCTGGTCAATCAATGTTTTAATCGGCATTTTGGCCAAAAAGTCTGTCCCCAACAAGCACGGAACCGCCAGCGAGGATGATATCCCCAAATTTGTCCTCGGATCTGGCCAATGATACCCAACGAACCCTCGTTTGCTGCGTAGCATGGAACGTCGACCGGCAGCAAGGGGCGGCTCTGAAAGGGGAGGATATAAATCAAATCCGACACAATCGTTGCCGATGCCCCCGTATCGACAAGGACGCGCACCTCAACCCCATCGATGCGACCCGTAACAACGGACAAACCCGCCGACGCAGCAACAACTCGGTGAGCCAATTCAGACCACTGGCCCGGCCTGAGCGCCCTCTCGACCCCACCGCAGCCCGACGAACCGGCGGCCACGAGATCCGTAGATCGAAGCGCGTGAGATAGTGACAGATGTGTGCACAGGCTGAGCATGTGGGGTGCCGCGACTTGCCGGAGTTTGATGTGACGAGAGGTGCTCGTATGTTCCTTGCTGCCCGCAAGGAACACATGTCCCCGTCGTCCGATGCGAGGACAACGATCTGCAGTTCCTGAGCCAGCGCCAGATGTTTTTCTGTAACCATCGCGTCCACCCCCTCGCAGTCCATGCACGGGAAAGCCGCTTTTGCAAGGGCCAGGAGAGCCGTGCGGTAGCAAGCGGCGACTCTTTCTGGCCCCTGCGCCGCTCGTGAAACAGTTGGCGACAGTTCGATGGCGGCCCGTAGACAGTGGCGAGGAGTTGGAGCGCCGAATGCAGTGTAGCGCGCGCCGACTTGGGGGACGTGATGAGGGTGCCGACAGCGTCATCATCCAACGTGGCCGGCAAGGCACGCAGCGCCTCGTCCGTCCACCCGGACATCTCTTGATGGGCGAGGAAGCGACACTCAAAGCCCCCCCAGTCGCCTCCGTCGGACGCAAATTCTTTCAACACAGGCAAGCGTTGTTGGAATGATGGCTCCGTTTCCAACAGCCGCTGCCCGTTGTTCCCGCCGTTTTCGTCATCACTGGAGGGAATGGCGGTCCCCATCGGCGGTCGCACAGTTGATGAAGCGGCGTCTCGTGATTGGAGTCGTCCGATTGGTCCTGGCGGCGAACGTCCAATGGTGATGACGTCACGGCCGGTGATTGGCCCCCGCTGTCCACGTGGTGCTCTGGCCCTCCAATCTCCGTAGTAGACACCACATGGCAGCAGATCCAAATTCTGGCGGCTGTGTGCTGGCGGGAACGGCCGTTGACCGGCGTTCTTCGCCATGCTGCATCGGCACCCCCAGCCCCGCGTGGTTAATTTCTTCCTGCGTGGATGCCGCGGCGTACAGCAGCTCGGCCAGACGGGAGTGAGCCGCCCGTAACCCGTCCCCTAACGGCGGCCACCCCTCCAGCTGCGGCGGCTGTTGGGTCGCCTGTGGCATTCCGGGATCGTTGGCCAAGTCCGCTGGCGCTGTCCCAGCTGCCCCAGCGGAGTCGTCTTCCTCCCCAGGTTCTTGCGAGCGGTTTGTCCGTCTTGTGTCCATTACAAAGACCACTTCTGACACCAGTTGCATTGGGTTCACGGGACACGGAGACGGTGGAGTAGAGGCAGCACTTTATTCAAGCTTGGCAAGGGTTGCACTGGAAGGGGTAATGGCCCCTTCACCCGTATACACGCTGGGACACCCCCTAGGCTATCTAGCCTAACTCCTGTGCTCCCAGTTCCTCCGCTACAGGCGCTAGAGGAGGCTATCTGATCTGGCCCTGGTCAAGCACAGATCACGGCACCCCACCAACCAGACCGACCCTTAAAAGGGCTCCGGCTCTGAGGCTCTGGGGCCACACCACCGGCTTGCCCTGCCGGCTCTCAAAAGGACAGCGGTCAGGGAAGTGCCAGGGTCTATCTAGCCAGCCTTCCTTCTTCACTGGTTCTTCATTCTTGGCCCCAACCGACTGCCCCGAGCTCTCTGGCTCCCCGCCCTTTATACCCATACACCACTGAGGGGCGGGGCTATAGCGGACGTGGTTGTAGCCACCATGATGTGACTGTGTTACCTTCCCGCAACACCCCTACATATGTATGTTGAAATTATTTCGCACTGTACGTAGCGAACCGTGCTAATCGGGAGGTGTGAAAGATGCACCCTTCTGCTTTCACATGCGCTTCTGCGGCCGGACTAGGATAACTCTTCCACTGGAGCTACGCATATTCTTGGTTCTTTCGGTAAAGTCACGTAAATAGAAAACAGAAAAAAATGGAAATAAAATACAAAATACGATAAAATAAAATAAATTGAAAGTAATAAAAGCAAAAAATCCACGACGTTTTCGATCGCAACACAAGCGGTCTTCATCAAGGGTGGAGAGATAAGTGGGGGCAAGCCTCCAAATGTAGCTGCTTATAAGGGTTCCAGAGGGATGGGAGGGGGGGAATTGCACCTCGCTACACCCATCCACACTGCTGACGGTAGAGGTTGACAAGAAAACACAAATCAAGTCATGACCCAAAGTGGTTGAAGACATCTTTCCAATGATTGCTGGGTTTAAAACCGTCGTCTCGGTTGAAATTGTGTCTGTCTGTAAATATGGATGGCTTCGTGAACGAATCTTTGTTGATAGCCAGTCGGCTTGCAAAGTACCATCGTCTTAAGAGAAATCAATTTCACGTGAGCCAGCCGCATTAAAGTAATGATCAGCTACGGCAGAAGTATTGTTCCTACCGTGTTTCAAATCTGCCTTGTGCTCACGAACACAGTCTGAGACATGTCGCTTAGTTTCCCCAATGTAACTGTTGCTGCAGACACAGCTTAGTTTGTAGACGCTGGGATATTGCATGTCAGGGATCTTGTCCTTCACAGATGGGATCAGATCACGAATTTTGTGCAGTGTTAAATCGGACCTGGATCTTGTTTGTTCACGATTTTGGAAATATTTTTGGTTATCCCTGCTATGCATGGTAGGGTGATTGGATCTTCAGATGGCTCCTTCCTCACGGTTGGGGTGATGGCTTTGCGGATTGTGTAGTCAGAATATCCATTCGCCTTGAGAGCCTGGTGTACGTGTTTGAGATCACTGGTTAGGTGTTCATGGTCGGAGATACATTGAGCTCAATGGTGTAGTTTTGATGAGGGAATTCTTCTGGGATGGATGGTGGTGGGAATCAGGTTTTAGGGAGGCGTCAGTATGGGTTACTTTCCTGTAGACAGAATGGCTCATTGAGCCATCTGGTCTCTTTTTAATTAAGACATCCAATAAGGGTAGCATGCCATCCTTTTCTACCTCCATGGTGAATTTGATGGCTGGGTGAATGGAATTGATGTGGTTGAGGAATTGTCTCAGAGCCGGTCGGCCATGTGGCCAGATGACAAACGTGTCATCCACGTATCTCTTCCATAAGGGCGGGCGTAGGCTGGATGCCTGGATGGCCTCCGTCTCAAATTTTTCCATGCCAATGTTGGCCACAACCGGAGATAAGGGAGAACCCATTGGACTAACACGCCTCATAGACTCAACACTACCCATAGACTCAACACTGCCCATAGACTACACACTACCCATAGACTCAACACCACCCATAGACTCACCACCGCACCTCCGATTAGCACGGTTGGCTACGTACGGTGCGAAAGAAGTTCACCGTACAGTACACACAAGACACCTGTGGTTCCTCCACAATTGTGAGACGTGTTTTGTATGAACGAGGCTGCTCCATACAACTCAGCATCATCACGGCTGTAGTGACTTTTAATTACTTGTAAATATAACATACAAACAAGTTTCCTCTGCACGTATATTCCACCGATTACACCCCCAGGAATGCTTTTTAAATGTAGGCACAAGCGACCTCAAAACTCCACTTTCTCTCCCCACATCCTTCTTAGTGTGCGTAAGTTCTTTCGCGCCGTACGTAGCCAACCGTGCTAATCGCATGCCCACGTTTAAAATCTAGATTGAAAACTCACATCTTTGAAACTGTATTTTGTGTTTAGTTTGTTGTCCTTCCCCTGCACGGTTGGTTACGTACAGTGCGAACGAAGTTCAACACACAAACGCTGGATGTGCCGCAAGCTCTAAGGTGGGGCCCCCTTGGGGTAGGCAGGAGTCTCCGATCTTGAAGCGTCACAGCGTCCTCACAGCGTCCTCACAGCGTCGTCACAGCGTCATCACATGTCACGGCGTCGTCACGGTGTCATCACGGCGTCATCACAGCGTCATCAGCGTGTCACAGCTTTGTCACAGCGACGTCACAGCATGTCACGGCTTTGTCACAGCGTGTCACGGCGTCGTCACAGCGTCATCACGGCGTCGTCACAGCGTCATCACGGCGTCGTCACAGCGTCATCACGGCGTCGTCACAGCGTCATCACAGCGTCATCAGCGTGTCACAGCTTTGTCAGGGCATCGTCACAGCGTCGTCACAGCGTCGTCACAGCATCGTCACAGCGTGTCACGGCTTTGTCACAGCGACGTCACAGCGTCGTCACGGTTTCATCACAGCGTCATCAGCGTGTCACAGCTTCGTCAGGGCATCGTCACGGCGTCGTCACGGCGTCGTCACGGCCTCGTCAGGGCCTCGTCAGGGCGTCGTCGCCTTGCGTGAAGGATTCGCGCCGTGCAGAGTAGCCGCCGGCTTACGTGCCCAGGAATCCCACGTCGCCTCACGTGCCCAGGAATCCCACGTCGCCTCACGTGCCCAGGAGTCCCACGTCGCCTCACGCGATGGGCACCTCCCTCTCGCCCCGGCAAGCTAGCCGTGCACTTTTCTCGTCAAGGGGCGTAAACCGTCGTCACGCGAACTCCGCGTCAGCCTCGCGGCGGCGGCGGCGGCTTTTGGCAGTCACCGCATCGTCACGCAGCGCTTTCGGATGCACTTCGGCGGCCGTCTGGAACCCTCCTCCCTCCGATATTAGAAAGCCACCAGAGCTATGTACATTTCAATCTAGATTGAAAACTCATTTATTTAAAACCGCTTTGTGTTCAGTTTGTTGTCCTTTCCCCCCCCGCCCGCACCTCCCGTTAGGATGGTTGGCTACGTACGGTGCGAAAGATGTTCAAACATGCATTCGAGAACCTGGTTTGATCGCACGTAGCTGGGTAGGTAGATTCCAACCCAGCGGTCTCAGCTCCGATGGCTCAATGCATCTCTTAACATGGCCGTCATGGACCCTCGGAGACACCCAGACTCAGGGCTTGATGCCAGGATCTCAGTAGCGCTAGGACAGCGTCGCTGACACGGCCATTGCGAACCCAAGATGCCACTAAAAGTCGCCTCTTATATCGATGAGGCGAGATTACGCCGAAAACCCCTTCTTCCTTTACAATCAAGAGTGAATAGAAATGTGCGGAGGCACACGATTGAAAAAAATCTGTGCAAGTGTCTCTCTTGTTCAAGAATTCCTCGCTTCATTTTCTCAAGATGTGAAATCCAGGGTGGGGTGGGTGGGGTGGGGGTGGTGGTGAGGTTTGAAGCTTTTCTGCGTTTGGCAGCCCGGCGCGTGACAACGCGCGAAGGCCGGAGGCTGCCGCGGATTTCCGAGGTCAGGGGTCGCCGAGGACGAAGGGGGAGCGCAGGATGCGTCCCTTCACGTGCGACTCCAGACCCTGCGCGCAACAACAACACCCAATCACGTTCATCGGTCGCTCGCTCACTCACGAACCGAGATCATCAATGCGTGTACGTGTGTGCGAGTGTGCGAGTATGTCTCTGTTGTAGGGGCAGTGGTAGTGTCGCGGTTAGCAACCCTCTCACCACGAAGCCGAGCTGGATTCCCGCTCGTGGCCAACACCGGTGACGATTATCTGAAACCGGTCCTAGGCCTCCCCTAGGTCGACTCGGCCTCAAACGAGTACCTGGTGCTGTGTGTAGTAAACATCGCCGCTATGGAGATAAAGGCGGCCCGGCGTGGTGCTGGTCACCCACCCCCTCGTGTGCCGTGCCGGCCTTAACAGGTTACTACTCGCCAGCAGCACTTGCCCCAACAGTCTGTTGAGGCTATCCGGGGGGGGTCTTTGTATGTATGTTTGTGTGTGCAAGCGTCACCTCTCCGCTGTAGGAGATGAGTGGGGAGATCTCACAGATCGTGGGCGTCTCACTCTCCTCCGCGGGGCTGTGTCGCACACACGCAACAGCCACATCACATCAACCACAACAACCACATCCACCACACAACAACAACCACACCACATCCAGCACACAACAACCACACCACATCAACCACACAACAACTACACCACATCAACCACACAACAATAACCACACCACATCCACCACACAACATCAACCACACCATCAACCACATCCACCACACAACAACAACCACACCACATCCAGCACACAACAACCACACCACATCAACCACACAACAACAACCACACCATAACCACATCTAGCACACAACAGCCACATCAACCTCCCATCAATCACGCAACAACCACACCACATCAACCACACAACAACCGCACAATAACCACATACACCTCATCAACCACACATCGACCATACAACCACATCGCATCAAGCACATACAACAGGCACACATCCAACCATACAACCTCACAACAACCACGTCGCCACGCGGGGAGACAGTCACACCACACAGCAACCACACTGGGGGGGGGCTGGGGGGGGGGGGTGGCGTGGGGCACGGGGCCATGCCACGTGGGCAAAGGCAGGGGTGGGGGGTGGGTGGCGGTGCCCCCCCGCCCCCCCGCTCATAGTGGCGTGGTCCCTGGAGATGGTCCCCCCGCAAGTCGCCCACCTGGGGGCATCGTTCCCTTGCTCGTCCACGATCCTTCCACCCGCCCCCTGGATCCACCTGCAACCACGCAGCAACACAGCAGAGCCCTCGCCATCATCAGCCACGCCAGCGTGCCGTGACCCTCCTGTGACTAGAGGTACACGCGGCCGGCTAATACAACGCCAGGCCAGTGTAACGCGAGTCTCCTGTGACTACACACATACGGCGCGAGCGGTGCGTGAACGCGGTGTGAGCGCTGTAGTGAGCGCTGCAGTGAGCGCGGCCGCTCCGCACCGGTAGTGCAGAGCCATCTGGTGGCGCCGCGAGGAGCTGGGGCAGTCGACGCCGGCGGAGTCCGAGTTCTTGAGCGGGGAGAACTCGTCCTCGCGGCGAACCTCAAACTGCACGAACTTCCTGCAGCGTAAACAACAACAACACCGCCGTCGTAAACAACATCAGTGAAAGAACACCAGCGTAAATAACATAAGCGTAAACATCATCGGCGTAAACAACACCACCAGGGTAAACAACAACACGACCAGGGTAAACAACACCATTATAAACAACACTAGGGTAAACAATACCACCAGCGTATACACCAGGGTAAACAACAATTACCACCAGCGTAAACACCACCAGCATAAATAACACCACCAGCAGCGTAAACAACAACATAGTTACACTTAACGTGTGAACCTCCAACTGAAACAAATTGCTCTAAAGACTTTTCTAGATTTGAAGCTTTCGTGACTGCAAGGGTCCATACTCTGTGGTTCTATTCGATAAAGTCACGTAGGTAAAAAATAAACAAAAATCACGACATTTCGCCCAAAACACAAGTGGCCTTCATCAGGTGAAGGGACCAACCTGTCCAGAGGACAGCGTTGGAGTGAAAAGAGTCAAGCGCAGGTCACCTCCTTTAAGCTACGTGACTTTACCGAAGAGAACCAAAGAGTATGCTCTAAAGACAACACACAGACTGTGACTAGTCACCCTCCCTGTATTATTAGCTGTGACTGGTCGTGACCGACCGTGACCGGCCGTGACCGACCGTGGCTGGCTGTGACTGGTACTGGTCGTGGCCGGTCGTAATTGGCCGTGGCTGGCCGTGACCGACCGTGACTGGCTGTGACTGGTCGTGATCGACCGTGGCTGGCTGTGACTGGTCGTGACCGACCGTGGCTGGCTATGACTGGCTGTGACTGGTCGTGACCGACCGTGGCTGGCTATGACTGGTCGTGGCTGGCCGTGACTGGTACTGGTCGTGGCCGGCCGTAATTGGCCGTGGCTAGCTGTGACTGGTTGTGGTTGGCTGTGACTGGTTGTGGCTGGCCGTGACTGGCCGTCACTGGTCGTGACTGGCCGTGGCTGGCCGTGACCGGTCGTGACTGGCCGTAACTGGCCGTGACCGACCGTGACTGGCCGTGGCTGGCCGTGACCGGCCGTGACTGGTCGTGGCTGGCCGTAATTGGCTGTGGCTGGCTGCGACTGGTTGTGGTTGGCTGTGACTGGTTATGGCTGGCCGTGACTGGCCGTGACTGGCTGTGAATGGCCGTGACTGGCCGTGACTGGCTGTGACTGGTCGTGACTGGTTGTGGCCGGCCGTAATTGGCCGTGGCTGGCTGTGACTGGTTGTGGTTGGCTGTGACTGGCCGTGACCGGCCGTGACTGGTCGTGACCGGCCGTGACTGGCCGTGACTGGCCGTGACTGGTCGTGACTGGCCGTGGCTGGCCGTGGCTGGCCGTAACTGGCCATGGCTGGCCGTGGCTGGCCGTGACTGGCCGTGACTGGCAGTGACTGGCCGTGACTGGCCGTGACTGGCTTTGACTGGTCGTGACCGACCGTGGCTGGCTGTGACTGGTCGTGGCTCGCCGTGACTGGTACTGGTCGTGGCCGGCCGTAATTGGCCGTGGCTGGCTGTGACTGGTTGTGGTTGGCTGTGACTGGCCGTGACTGGCCGTGACCGGCCGTGACTGGTCGTGACCAGCCGTGACCGGCCGTGACTGGCCGTGACTGGTCGTGACTGGCCGTGGCTGGCCGTGGCTGGCCGTAACTGGCCATGGCTGGCCGTGGCTGGCCGTGACTGGCAGTGACTGGCCGTGACTGGCCGTGACTGGCCGTGACTGGCTTTGACTGGTCGTGACCGACCGTGGCTGGCTGTGACTGGTCGTGGCTGGCCGTGACTGGTACTGGTCGTGGCCGGCCGTAATTGGCCGTGGCTGGCTGTGACTGGTTGTGGTTGGCTGTGACTGGTTGTGGCTGGCCGTGACTGGCCGTGACTGGCCGTAACTGGTCGTGACTGGCCGTGACTGGCCGTGACTGGCCGTGGCTGGCCGTGACTGGCAGTGACTGGCCGTGACTGGCCGTGACTGGCTTTGACTGGTCGTGACCGACCGTGGCTGGCTGTGACTGGTCGTGGCTGGCCGTGACTGGTACTGGTCGTGGCCGGCCGTAATTGGCCGTGGCTGGCTGTGACTGGTTGTGGTTGGCTGTGACTGGCCGTGACTGGTCGTGACCAGCCGTGACTGGCCGTGACTGGCCGTGACTGGTCGTGACTGGCCGTGGCTGGCCGTGGCTGGCCGTAACTGGCCATGGCTGGCCGTGGCTGGCCGTGACTGGCAGTGACTGGCCGTGACTGGCCGTGACTGGCTTTGACTGGTCGTGACCGACCGTGGCTGGCTGTGACTGGTCGTGGCTGGCCGTGACTGGTACTGGTCGTGGCCGGCCGTAATTGGCCGTGGCTGGCTGTGACTGGTTGTGGTTGGCTGTGACTGGTTGTGGCTGGCCGTGACTGGCCGTGACTGGTCATGACTGGCCGTGACTGGCCGTGACTGGCCGTGACTGGCCGTGGCTGGCCGTGGCTGGCCGTAACTGGCCATGGCTGGCCGTGGCTGGCCGTGACTGGCCGTGACTGGCAGTGACTGGCCGTGACTGGCCGTGACTGGCTTTGACTGGTCGTGACCGACCGTGGCTGGCTGTGACTGGTCGTGGCTGGCCGTGACTAGTACTGGTCGTGGCCGGCCGTAATTGGCCGTGGCTGGCTGTGACTGGTTGTGGTTGGCTGTGACTGGTTGTGGCTGGCCGTGACTGGCCGTGACTGGCCGTAACTGGTCGTGACTGGCCGTGACTGGTCGTGACTTGCCGTGACTGGCTGTGACTGGTCGTGACTGGCCGTAACTGGCCGTGACCGGCCGTGACTGGCCGTGACCGGCCGTGACTGGTCGTAACTGGCCGTGGCTGGCCGTGACCGGCCGTGACGGGCCGTGGCTGGCCGTGGCTGGCCGTGACTGGCCGTGGCTGGCCGTGACCGGCCGTGACTGGTCGTGGCTGGCCGTAATTGGCCGTGGCTGGCTGTGACTGGTTGTGGTTGGCTGTGACTGGTTGTGGCTGGCAGTGACTGGCCGTGACTGGCTGTGACTGGTCGTGACTGGTTGTGGCCGGCCGTAATTGGCCGTGGCTGGCTGTGACTGGTTGTGGTTGGCTGTGACTGGCCGTGACCGGCCGTGACTGGTCGTGACCGGCCGTGACTGGCCGTGACTGGCCGTGACTGGTCGTGACTGGCCGTGGCTGGCCGTGGCTGGCCGTAACTGGCCATGGCTGGCCGTGGCTGGCCGTGACTGGCCGTGACTGGCAGTGACTGGCCGTGACTGGCCGTGACTGGCTTTGACTGGTCGTGACCGACCGTGGCTGGCTGTGACTGGTCGTGGCTGGCCGTGACTGGTACTGGTCGTGGCCGGCCGTAATTGGCCGTGGCTGGCTGTGACTGGTTGTGGTTGGCTGTGACTGGTTGTGGCTGGCCGTGACTGGCCGTGACTGGCCGTAACTGGTCGTGACTGGCCGTGACTGGCCGTGACTGGCCGTGACTGGCCGTGGCTGGCCGTGACTGGCAGTGACTGGCCGTGACTGGCCGTGACTGGCTTTGACTGGTCGTGACCGACCGTGGCTGGCTGTGACTGGTCGTGGCTGGCCGTGACTGGTACTGGTCGTGGCCGGCCGTAATTGGCCGTGGCTGGCTGTGACTGGTTGTGGTTGGCCGTGACTGGCCGTGACCGGCCGTGACTGGTCGTGACCAGCCGTGACCGGCCGTGACTGGCCGTGACTGGTCGTGACTGGCCGTGGCTGGCCGTGGCTGGCCGTAACTGGCCATGGCTGGCCGTGGCTGGCCGTGACTGGCAGTGACTGGCCGTGACTGGCCGTGACTGGCCGTGACTGGCTTTGACTGGTCGTGACCGACCGTGGCTGGCTGTGACTGGTCGTGGCTGGCCGTGACTGGTACTGGTCGTGGCCGGCCGTAATTGGCCGTGGCTGGCTGTGACTGGTTGTGGTTGGCTGTGACTGGTTGTGGCTGGCCGTGACTGGCCGTGACTGGCCGTAACTGGTCGTGACTGGCCGTGACTGGCCGTGACTGGCCGTGACTGGCCGTGGCTGGCCGTGACTGGCAGTGACTGGCCGTGACTGGCCGTGACTGGCTTTGACTGGTCGTGACCGACCGTGGCTGGCTGTGACTGGTCGTGGCTGGCCGTGACTGGTACTGGTCGTGGCCGGCCGTAATTGGCCGTGGCTGGCTGTGACTGGTTGTGGTTGGCTGTGACTGGCCGTGACTGGCCGTGACCGGCCGTGACTGGTCGTGACCAGCCGTGACTGGCCGTGACTGGCCGTGACTGGTCGTGACTGGCCGTGGCTGGCCGTGGCTGGCCGTAACTGGCCATGGCTGGCCGTGGCTGGCCGTGACTGGCAGTGACTGGCCGTGACTGGCCGTGACTGGCTTTGACTGGTCGTGACCGACCGTGGCTGGCTGTGACTGGTCGTGGCTGGCCGTGACTGGTACTGGTCGTGGCCGGCCGTAATTGGCCGTGGCTGGCTGTGACTGGTTGTGGTTGGCTGTGACTGGTTGTGGCTGGCCGTGACTGGCCGTGACTGGTCATGACTGGCCGTGACTGGCCGTGACTGGCCGTGACTGGCCGTGGCTGGCCGTGGCTGGCCGTAACTGGCCATGGCTGGCCGTGGCTGGCCGTGACTGGCCGTGACTGGCAGTGACTGGCCGTGACTGGCCGTGACTGGCTTTGACTGGTCGTGACCGACCGTGGCTGGCTGTGACTGGTCGTGGCTGGCCGTGACTAGTACTGGTCGTGGCCGGCCGTAATTGGCCGTGGCTGGCTGTGACTGGTTGTGGTTGGCTGTGACTGGTTGTGGCTGGCCATGACTGGCCGTGACTGGCCGTAACTGGTCGTGACTGGCCGTGACTGGTCGTGACTTGCCGTGACTGGCTGTGACTGGTCGTGACTGGCCGTAACTGGCCGTGACCGGCCGTGACTGGCCGTGACCGGCCGTGACTGGTCGTAACTGGCCGTGGCTGGCCGTGACCGGCCGTGACGGGCCGTGGCTGGCCGTGGCTGGCCGTGACTGGCCGTGGCTGGCCGTGACCGGCCGTGACTGGTCGTGGCTGGCCGTAATTGGCCGTGGCTGGCTGTGACTGGTTGTGGTTGGCTGTGACTGGTTGTGGCTGGCAGTGACTGGCCGTGACTGGCTGTGACTGGTCGTGACTGTCGTGGCCGGCTGTAATTGGCCGTGGCTGGCTGTGACTGGTTGTGGTTGGCTGTGACTGGTTGTGGCTGGCCGTGACTGGCCGTGACTGGCCGTGACCGGCCGTGACTGGCCGTGACCGGCCGTGACTGGCCGTGACTGGTTGTGGCTGGCCGTGACTGGTCGTGACAGGTCGTGACTGGCCGTGACTGGTCGTGACTGGCCGTGACTGGCCGTGACTGGTCGTGGCTGGCCGTAATTGGCCGTGGCTGGCTGTGACTGGTTGTGGTTGGCTGTGACTGGTTGTGCCTGGCCGTGACTGGCCGAGACCAGCCGTGACCGGCCGTGACCGGCTGTGACCGGCCGTGACTGGCCGTGACTGGTCGTGGCTGGCCGTGACTGGCCGTGGCTGGCCGTGACCGGCCGTGACTGGCCGTGACTGACCGTGACTGGCTGTGACTGGTCGTGACTGGCTGTAGCTGGCCGTGGCTGGCTGTGACTAGCCGTGACCGGCCGTGACTGGCTGTGACCGACCGTGGCTGGCTGACTGGTCGTGGTTGGCCGTGACTGGTACTGGTCGTGGCCGGCCGTAATTGGCCGTGGCTGGCTGTGACTGGTTGTGGTTGGCTGTGACTGGCCGTGACCGGGCGTGACCGGCCGTGACCGGCCGTGACCGGCCGTGCCGTCTCGTACTTTGCAAAGGGGAAGACGTCGAACACGAACTTCTCCATCTTGATGCCGTTTGGTTTCGTGGGCTCCACCCGGTTCCCGCTCTCGTCCACGTGCGCAATCTTCTTGTGGGCCACGTGGAACGGTAGCTGGGGCTCGAACTCCCTGCACGAGGGGGGACACACGGGGAGAGTCACGGGGGGTGGGGGGACACAAGGGGGGAGTCACGGGGGGTGGGGGGACACAAGGGGGGAGTCACGGGGAGACGCACAGGGGGAGACGCACGGTGGGGGGGGGGGGCACACACAGGGAGACACGGGGGGGGGGGGGGGCGACACACAGTGGGGAGACACGGACACACACACACGGGGAGACACAGAGGGAGAGGGGACACGGCGGGAGTCACGGAAGGAATCACAAGGGGAATCATGGGGGGGGGGCGGGAGTTGCAGGGGGAGTCACGGGCAGACAGCGCGACAGCGAAACAAGCGGACGTACGGTGAGAGCGATTTGACTGCTGCGGCAGTGACTGCGGATTGCTGACGGCGCCAATCGGCGACCGCCAAAGACAGCCGTGGTCAAGTTGAAGACGGAGCGGCATCAACGAGGGGCGGCCACGCGGCTCCGGCGGCCACGAAATCGGACCGCCGTGGAGGCGCCAGATTGGATCGCTACGTCGCCATGGGGCGAGGCTTTCATCCAGCGGAGGCCGAACCGCGCCCTCGGCGGCGACGGACGCAAGGCACCTGACGACGAGCTTGAGGAAGTCGAGGGTGAAGTGGTGGACGCAGATGTTGCCCGCGCGGAGGCGCAGCCTGCCGGAGTGGTCGCGCTCGCGGGCCTGCTCGGCGCCCAGCTCGGTGTACTCCACCACGCGGGCGCGGCCGCCCGACAGGCACAGCACGCCCACTGCCTCGTCGGGGGACTGCTTCTCCACCACCTGCGCCACGCCGCGGCGACAGGTCAAAGGTAAAGGATCCCCCCCCCCCCCGCCGCCTCCACCACCTCCTCCCCCGCGTGTCTCCGCGCATCCCCCGTGTCTCCTCGTGTTCCGCGTGGTTCCATTTATCCGCGTGTCACTTCCCGCGTGTCTCCGCGTCTTCCCTTTGACTCCCCCCGCGTGTCTCCGTGCATCCCCCGTGTCTCCCCCGTGGTTCCATTTGTCCGTGTGTCACCCCCCCGTGTCTAGAATGGGCACCGCAGTGGCGAGATGTTGTCTCCCTCGCCTGATATGCAAGAGGTCGTGGGTTCGATCCCAATCCTGACCCTGTCGTATATTTGGAGTTTGCGTTTCTCTCTCCCCGTGGTCGCGAGGATTTTTCTCCAGGTCCTCAGTTTTTCCCTCCACATTTAGAATCAACATCGCGTATTTGGATGCTGCTAGAAGTTTCCACACGATGATAATAAGCTACTTGGTTGAGCTATCATTTGTGTTAGCCAGCTTTACAGGTCAGTGGGGCCTTAACCTGGAAAAATAAATACAAATATTAACAAATATTTCGTCAAAAATCTAAAATCTAATTGTTTAATAAAAATGAATAGTTAAAGATTTTTTTTTAAATGGTCAAAAAAATATATGTATTAAAAATATAAAAAAAACAGTAAAATAAAAAAAGTTAATTTTTTTAATCTCAATTTTTTTTACTTTCAAAAAAATTGTTACAATTTTTTTTAATGTGTTACAAAAATAATAAAAAATTATAAATGTACGTTTTTTTAAAGAAATATACAAAAAAAATGTGTTACAAATGCGTTAAATTTTTTGTTTCGTAAAAAAAATTGTTTAACGGAAAAAATAGTTTAAAAAAACGTGTTAAAAAAATTATGAGCTCTCCACCTTGGCCCCGCAGTCCGCCCCCTTGCGGACGCAGAAACCCAGGAAGAGAGGGTCCCCCACGCGGGCCAGGATGTTGTCCACGCAGTACGCGTGGACGTAGCGCACGCCACGGGCCTCCATGTCGGCCAGCACGCCGCTGTCCCCCAGCGCGCGGTAAAGCCCTCCGTTACCGTCTACACAACGACAACAATCGCACGGGTCAACCGCGTGGCGACAACAACAACAACAACAACACAAACAACTACATCCCCCCGGTCACGGCCGGCCACGGCCAGTCACGGCCAGTCACAGCTAATAATACAGGGAGAGTGACTAGTCACAGTCCGTGTGTGTTGTCTTTATAGCAATTTTGTTCAGTTGGAGGTTCACACGTTAGTGTAACTATGTTGTTGTTTACGCCGCTGTTGGTGCTGTTGTTTACCCTGGTGTTGTTTGTGACGGTGATGAAGTTTGCTCTCGTGGTATTGTTAACGCTCGCTCGTTCGTTTCTCAGTCCGCCTGTCCTGGTGAGGGTCGCGGCGGCAGCAGCGTGTTGAGCAGTGGCGGTCCACACCTCCCTACTACACTATACACTACTACACTACACTATACACTACTACACTATACACTACTACACTATATACTACTATACACTACACTATACACTACTACACTATATACTACTACACTACACACTACTACACTATACACTACTATACACTACTACACTATACACTACTATACACTACACTATACACTACTACACTATACACTAGTATACACTACATTACTATACTATACACTACTACACTATACACTACTACACTATACACTACTACACTATATACTACTACACTATACACTACTATACACTACACTATACACTACTATACACTACACTATACACTACTATACTATACACTACTACACTATACACTACACTATACACTACTGCACTATATACTACTGGACTATACACTACTACACTATACACTACTACACTATACACTACTACACTATACACTACTTCACTATACACTACTACACTATACACTACTACACTATACACTACTACACTATATACTCCTATACACTACTACACTATATACTACTACACTATTACACTATATACTACTACACTATTACACTATATACTACTACACTATACACTACTATACACTATATACTACTACACTATACACTACTATACACTACACTATACACTACTACACTATATACTACTACACTATACACTACTACACTATATACTACTACACTATACACTACTATACACTACTACACTATACACTACTATACACTACTACACTATACACTATATACTACTACACTATACACTACACTATACACTACACTACTATACACTACTACACTATACACTACACTATACACTACTATACACTACTATACACGACACTACTACACTATACACTACTATACACTACACTATACACTACTACACAATACATTACTATACCCTACACACTACTACACTATACACTACTATACAATACACTATACACTACTACACTATACACTACTATACACAACACTGTACACTACACTATACACTACCACACTATACACTACTATACACTACACTGTACACTACACACTACTACACACTACTACACTATACACTACTATACACTACACTATACACTACTACACTATAGCAGCGTGTTGAGTAGTGGCGTCCACACCTGCCTTTCCCTGGCGACAGACTCCAGCACTATACTACTATACACTACTACACTATACACTACTATACACTACCACACTATAGAGTACAATACACTACTGTACATTAATACACTATACACTACACTATACACTACACTATACACTACTATACTACTACATTATACACTACTATACACAGACTCCAGCACTACACTATACACTACTACACTATAATACACTACTACACTATACACTACTACACTATAGAGTACTATACACTACACTACTACACTATACACTACTATACACTACACTATACACTACTACACTATACACTACACTACTACACTATACACTACTATGCACTATAGAGTACTATACACTACACTACTACACTATACACTACTATACACTATTACACTACACACTACTACACTATAGAGTACTATACACTATAGAGTACTATACACTACACTATACACTACTACACTATACACTATAGAGTACTATACACTACTATACACTACACTACTACACTATACACTACTATACACAACACTATACACTACTACACTATACACTACTACACTATAGAGTACTATACACTACACTATACACTACTATACACTATAGAGTACTACATACAGACTCTAGCTCTTCCTGGGGAGTTCCCAGGCGCTCCCAGGCCAGCCGAGCATCCTCTCGTGTGCCGGTAATTCTGATTCTGCCTTGGCGAGACATCCCCCGGTGTCTCCCCATCTGCCTGTGTGTGTCCCCGTGTCTCCCCATGTCTACCTCCACGTGTGTCCTCGTGTGTGTCCTCGTGTGTGTCCTCGTGTGTGTCCTCGTGTGTGTCCTCGTGTGTGTCCTCGTGTGTCCTTGTGTGTGTCCTTGTGTGTGTCCTCGTGTGTGTCCTCGTGTGTGTCCTCGTGTGTGTCCTCGTGTGTGTCCTCGTGTGTGTCCTCGTGTGTGTCCTTGTGTAGGTCCTCGTGTGTGTCCTCGTGTGTGTCCTCGTGTGTGTCCTCGTGTGTGTCCTGGTGTGTGTCCTTGTGTGTGACTTGTGTGTGTCCTTGTGTGTGTCCTTGTGTGTGTCCTTGTGTGTGTTCCTGTGTGTGTCCTGGTGTGTGACATGTGTGTGTCCTGGTGTGTGACTTGTGTGTGTCCTCGTGTGTGACTTGTGTGTGTCCTTGTGTGTGTCCTCGTGTGTGTCCTCGTGTGTGCCCTCGTGTGTGTCCTCGTGTGTGTCCTCGTGTGTGACTCGTGTGTGTCCTTGTGTGTGTCCTTGTGTGTGACTTGTGTGTGTCCCCGTATCTGCCTCTGTATCTCCCCGTATGTACCTCGTGTCTCCACCACGTGTTGCCGAGTTACCGGGAGCCTTGGGGAGGCGTCCCAACGTCTCCCCCTTGTCTCTCCGCGTCTCTCCCCCGTGTCTCCTCCTTGTCTCTCCCATGTCTCCCGCATCTCTCCCCCGTGTCTCCCCGCGTCTCTCCCCCATGTCTCCCCGTGTCTCCCCGCGTCTCTCCCCCGTGTCTCCCTGCGTCTCTCTCCCGTGTCTCCCCGCGTCTCTCCCCGCGTGTCTCCCCGTGTATCCCCGCGTGTCTCCCCGCGTGTCCCCCTGTGTCCCCAGTGTCTCTCCGTGTCTGTGCCGCGTCTTCCCGCGTGTCCGCCGCGTGTCTTCCCGCGACTGTGCCGCGTCTCCCCGAGTTACCGGGAGCCCTGGCGAGGCCGTCCCCGCGTCTCCCCGCGTGTCCCCCCGCGTGTCACCCTTGTCCCCCCCCGCGTGTCTACCCGCGCGTCTCCCCGCGTGTCTCCCCGCGTGTCTCCCCGCGCGTCTCCCCGCGTCTCCGGCCGCGTCTCCCCGAGTTACCGGGAGCCCTGGCGAGGCGTCCCCGCGTCTCCAGGATGACCTTGCCGTCGGGGGTGAGCGCCGGGATCTGTCGCTGCTCAAAGAGGCGAACGTCGTCCTTGCACAGCCCCAGGAAGCCGCGCTCGCGCAGGAACGCCAGCATGGGCTCCCGCGTGTGGCCCGACGTCATGATGTACCTGCCTCAGCAACAACAACAACAACACCTCGAGTCAACAACAACAACAACGACGACGACGACGAATCGCTGGCTCGTGCGGCGCGGCCGCGATCGTTCTCACGGCGCAGGGCGACTTGTCGCCGCGTTTCTGCCACCGCTGCGCTGGACATCCGCGAACAAGAGCCTCACAGCTCATCGGATTTTCTCGAGGATAAACGAAGATTCTGATTACGACTCTGAACCACCCTGGCGTCCCTTTACAAGACGAAAGGGCCATTGCCCGAAACGTCGCGGACGCCGGCATTCGTCAGATTCCCCCACAACCAGCTCTCCTTTCCGCACGGCCCCAATGCACCAGGGCAGCCCCCCCCCCCCACTATTCCCAACATACCAGGCCAAGGGCTCCCCCCCCCCCCCCCACTGCCCTCCCTATTCCCAACGTACCAGGGCAGGGCCCCCCGCTTGCCGTGCCTCTCCTCGGCGAGCCGCTGCAGGCGCAGGATGCGCTGGGCCTGCAGCTGCAGCAGGGGCTTGTGGGAGGGCAGCCCCACATCGTAGAGGCCCTTGGGGTAGGGCACGCCCAGGCGCGTCCCCTGGCCCCCGGCGAGGAGCACGATGGCCACGCGGCCCTCGGCCACCTGCAGCAGCCCTGCAGAGGCGGTGGATCGAGGACCGGGGGGGGGGGGTGCGAGATGTTAGCTACCTCGCCTGGTGTGCGGGAGGTCTCAACTAAACTATGTTTTATTGTGTGTGTGCTGAACTTGCTTCTCGCCCTACGTAGCCAACCGCGCGATTAGCAGGCAAGACCCCGGAGGGCTGTGCAGATTTTTTTCGGAAAGTGACCTGGCCACACGTAATGACAGTTCAACGGAAGTGGCTTATCATCATCATCACGTGGACATGTATAGCAGCGGCCAAATACTCGCAACGCGTGACACGTTTGAGTCTAGATGTGGTAGTCCGTAATATCCTGGTGAGAGTCTGCGATATCTGGGCGCGGCCAAAAGGCGTGCAGGTTAATTCTGAACCGTGAACCTTGGCATTGCTCATGCAGTTAGGCCCCGTGTATGAATTTCAATTGAATAATTTTCAGTGGAGGAGACCTGGGGCCTGCCGCCCGAGCCCGCCGTACCCGAGTCCACTTGATTTGTTTTTGCCACAGGTAAGGCCCACGGAGCTATGCAGCAGCAATTATTTTTTTAGAAGCGATCTGGCTATCAAATGATATCAGGTGGAAATGTATAGCGGACAAATACTCTAAACGCATGGTTTATTGTCAATGTAGAGGGGGGAAACCAGGACCTGGAGAAACCACGTCACCTCACCCCATGTCACACCTCACTCACCCCCCTCACCTCACCCCTCCTCACCCCACGTCACCTGACCTATCCCCCCCCCTCAACCACCCCACATCCTCTCAGCACCCCACGTCCGCTCACCCCTCACTCACCCCTCACTCACTCCACATCACCTCACTCACTCCACATCACCTCACCCACCCCACATCACCTGACCTATCTACTCGCTCACCTGATCTATCCCACACCCTCACCCACCCCACGTCCTCACACTCACCACCCCACACTCACCCCACAATACCTCACCCCTCCTAACCCCACATCACCTCACCCCACGTCACCTCACCACCCTTCACTCACCCCACATCACCTCACCCCTCCTCACCCCACGTCCCCTGACCTATCCACTCACCTCACCACTCACTCACCCCCCCTCACCACTCACCCCCCCTCACCTTCTCCCCCTCACCCCCCCCCCCCCCCTCACCACCCACCGTGCTCCTCCCAGTCTCGCAGGCTCCCCGGGTCAGACGCGATGCTGCTGCCGCACAGCTCTGCGGGCAACGGTTCGAGGACTGCCCCGGCCTGCCCGGGCTGCCCGGGCTGCCCGGCCGCCGCCTCGCCGCGGCCTAGCGCCTCGCCGAGCGCGGGCCCCAGGGCCTCCAACTCGGCCTCGCTCAGCTCGCGTGCCAGGGCCTCCCGTTCGGGGCCCGCCAGCGCGTCCCAGAAGGCCAGGGCGTGCCCCTGGGAGCAGCGACTCAGGCGACATCGCAGCGCCTCCAGCCACTGCGGGGACTTCACGAACGGGGGGCAGCCCCCCTCGCCCCGGGGGGGCAGGGCTGCTGCTGCCGCCCCTGCCCCGTGAGCCTCTTGGTCGTCCATCGACGTGCAAAGGGAGGGGGGGCAGCTGCAAGGGAAGGCGAGGCGAGGGAGTTACGTGTGGCTATGTACGGTGCGAACGAAGTTCAACATGCAGAGTGGGAGGAGGAGGAGGAGAGAGGAGAGAGGGGGAGGTCGTGAGAGAGCGGTGGCACCGTACGGGCGGTCGCGATGTGGGGAGGGGGCAGCACGAGAGGGGGGGCAGCACGAGAATGGGGGGCAGCACGAGAATGGGGGGCAGCAGCACGAGAATGGGGGCAGCACGAGAGAGGGGGGCAGCAGCACGAGAATGGGGGGCAGCACGAGAGAGGGAGAAGTAGCACGAGAATGGGGGGCAGCAGCACGAGAGAGAGGGGGGGCAGCAGCACGAGAATGGGGGGCAGCAGCACGAGAATGGGGGGCAGCAGCACGAGAGAGAGGGGGGGCAGCAGCACGAGAATGGGGGGCAGCAGCACGAGAATGGGGGGCAGCACGAGAGAGAATGGGGGGCAGCAGCACGAGAGGGGAGCTCCAATCGCCAACTGCTCTCCCAATGGGGACCAGGAAGTGTCGCGCGGAACCGATTCGGGAGAATCAATACCTCGAGTTTTGGAATCGATTCCACCACCGCGTTGACTTCGCTTTAAAAAAAAAATCCTTAACCGTATTTAATCGCTCGGCCTGTAGGCGGCGTCGCATCTTTCGCGATGTCGCTTCCCCCGAGGGGTAGGCGCGATGTAAATGTAAACTATCTCTAATTAAACTTAATAAGCGGGTTGTTTGTTGTTGTTCGTGTTTCGATTCACCGGCGGGAAAAAAGAATACGATTGTGGTGGAATCGATTCGCGATGAGGTCAGCTGTTCACGTGCCGCGTAGACGCGGCAGTCACGTGGTGAGAAGCCACGTGGAAAGGTAACTCCTGTACTTTAGCGCTGTTGTTGATTGGGACCGTCCATAAATGACGTCACGCACCTAGAGGGGGGGGGGGTTAGATATTTGTGACGATATGTGATGAGGAGGGGGGGGGGGTTTGAGAAATGTGACGTCACATCAAAATGCGCAACTTTTAATAAATATAGACAACACGTTCCACTTAATTAAATTTACTTTTTAATAAACAACGACAATAGTTTAAAGCGATTTGAAGCATACTCTTTGGTTCTATTGGGTAAAGTCACGTAGGTGAAAATAAAATAACAACGTGACTTTATTCATAATAAAGGTTTGTGGGTTAGATCGCGTTTATTTATAAATGTGTCGTAACCCTCCACCACCCGACACGGCCAATCAGCAAAAAAAAGTGTCACGTTGACAAAAGACAAATAATTCACTACTTCAGCCCACCAGTGTGTTGAAGAGTTAATCCACATTTACAGTTTGAGTACGACGTTTCGCTGGTAAATACATCCAGCATCATCAAGCAATTCGCCAGAATGGTAAAGCCCTCGCTTGCTCCCGGTTTTTATATAGAGCAGCAGGGTGACGTCATCACTTAACTCATATCAGGTGCAGTGATTAGAGGCGGAGGGGGGGGTATTGTAATTATATAATCGATTAGTAATCAGTCATTGGTTATGATTAGTAATGAGTTGTAGATTAGTAATTCTTTAAATGTAATGTGTATTATTTAATAATACGCTTCCAGGCCGCACATTACATTTAAAGAATTACTAATCTACAACTCATTACTAATCATAACCAATGACTGATTACTAATCGATTATATAATTACAATACCCCCCCCCCCTCCGCCTCTAATCACTGCACCTGATATGAGTTAAGTGATGACGTCACCCTGCTGCTCTATATAAAAACCGGGAGCAAGCGAGGGCTTTACCATTCTGGCGAATTGCTTGATGATGCTGGATGTATTTACCAGCGAAACGTCGTACTCAAACTGTAAATGTGGATTAACTCTTCAACACACTGGTGGGCTGAAGTAGTGAATTATTTGTCTTTTGTCAACGTGACACTTTTTTTGCTGATTGGCCGTGTCGGGTGGTGGAGGGTTACGACACATTTATAAATAACGCGATCTAACCCACAAACCTTTATTATGAATAATATTGGTCGCGAAAGCCTACGTGTTAAACTAACGTGACTTTACCCAATAGAACCAAAGAGTATGGATCCTAGCAGTCACGAAAGCTTTAAATCTAGAATCGATTTGAAGCATGTTTTATTTTTTTTGGGGGGGGGGCAGAGCTTTGTGACGTCATATTTGAGGGGGGGGTCTGACTTTTTGTGACGCCGTGTGACGAGGGGGGGGGGGTGTAAAAAATCGTCCAAAATCCCGTGACGTCATTTATGGACGGCCCCATACTCTGTACACACGTGACGTTGATTCTAAATGTGTCGGGGGAAAAACCGGAGTTACCCGGAAAAAAAACACGTGACCACGGGGGGCAAGGGCATGCAAATTCTCCGGTTCCTCAGGTTTATTTTACTTCCGCGTTTAGAAACAACGTGCGTTTAGAGTATTGTGGCTGCTGTGCATGTCCACGTGATGATAAGCCACTTCGTTGAGCTATCACGTCTGAAATAAATAGCGATATAGCTAAGTGAGCCTTAGCTGGTAAAATGAAATGTTTTTTCAACAATTAGTTTTATATCGAGAACCACCCTTTAAGAATTCGGGGTCGTTGCAACTTTATCATTTGCCGACACTGACTCACTCACACCATGCACTGACTCACTCACACACCATGCACTGACTCACTCACACATCATACACTGACTCACTCACACCATGCACTGACTCACTCACACATCATACACTGACTCACTCACACATCATACACTGACTCACTCACACCATGCACTGACTCACTCACACATCATACACTGACTCACACCATACACTGACTCACTCACACATCATGCACTGACTCAATCACACATCATACACTGACTCACACCATACACTGACTCACTCACACATCATGCACTGACTCACTCACACATCATACACTGACTCACTCGCACACCATGCACTGACTCACTCACACACCAAGCACTGACTCACTCACACATCATCCATTGACTCACACACCATACACTGACTCACTCACATCATGCACTGACTCACTCACACATCAATCACTGACTCACTCACACATCATCCATTGACTCACACACCATACACTGACTCACTCACATCATGCACTGACTCACTCACACATCAATCACTGACTCACACATCATACACTGACTCGCTCACACATCATACACTCACTCACACATCATACGCTGACTCACACATCATACACTCACTCACGCTGCTGCTGACTCACACACACATCATACACTGGGAGTGTCGTGGTGCCAGCAATGGCTGCAGTTTTTTTTGTCGTACGTGTTATGTATATCGTTTATTGTTAAATTTAAAATCACAGTTCCTATGATTACTGTTGTTACATTGTTTTTGTATAGCTTTATTTTGGTGATTCGAAAACATATGGTTAATCTAAATTGTCTTATGGTTGTTGTTGTTGGCTTGCACCACATTGTGATTTTAACACACAGCGTTTTAATAAGTTTTTTTTTTTTATGTGGAATATTTGCTGGTTTGTTCCAGGATGTTTCTGTTGCGCGTTGTCGCTTTAAGATGTTCTGTGTTCAAATTTTGTTTGTTTGCGGTTGCACCCGACTTCAGAGCCGCATGGCTCACAGGGCTACACACCTAATAAATGCAACTTGAAAAACTTGAAACATCGTTCGCACACGAAGTTGATGGAGTTCGGGTACTGCCCACCAGAGGGCAGCAGTGACCCTAGGTCCAGACCCCAGAGCCCTTTTTTTATTTCACCAGGGGCAGCTTTCACGATTCACAACAACAGCGATTGTTGGACACGGGCCCAGCACACGCCAAAGCGGTCGGTGTTGTTGAACTGATCGCGATACAATTGTTGTAAAGAGCTTGGGGAGGAGAGAGAGAGAGACGAAACATGATGAGAGAGGGGAAATCCACAGTGGAGCGGCAAGAGACGTTGTCACCTGGAGTGTGGGTACCATGAGTAACGTCACCACACATTTGCGTAGTGACGTTGGTGGAGGAGGAGGGGGGGGGAAATCGGAGGACCCCGGAGGAAAACAATTTTCACGCAAACTCCAAATTATACGCGGCAGGCGCCGGGATTGAAACTCCACGACCTTCTGCCTACCAGGCGAGGTAGTTAACATCTCGCCGCCGACGTGGGCACGTGGTTGGAACCAACGGTCCAAAAACGTCGACCCCAACATTCCACGTTTGCTGCGAGCCCAAATGCGGACAGCGGATTGCCGGCCGTGTTGAGACACAACCTCGCGGACGCGCGTGAAACGCGTCCATCCCCACAAACCATCCGGACGATTTCCCAAAGCAACGCGTCTTGCCCGAGCAAAATAGTGAATTCTGAAACCGAGGAATGTCGCTCTTGATTTGAAGCTTTCGTGACTGCAGGAATCCACACTCCCTGCTTCTTTCGGTAAAGTCACGTGGGTAGAAAAAAACGCTTGCGTTGAGACCGAAACGTCGTGTTTTCTTTTGTTATTTTTTTGTTTAATAAGCATACGGCGAAGACGCATTGAAGGGAATGCCGGTGACCCGTAGGCGGTGCACACCGCACATCATTGCGTTCATCCCCCTTGTTGGATTCCCACACCGTGCGCGTCGTGGGACGCAATTTTGACCGTACTTCACCACCCCGCCCACGTTACTGTTCGCGCACGCCAATTTACAAAACCCGGTTCGTCAGAATGTCGTATATTTTATCTTCTGTCAATGTGACGCTCATCAGATCGCTACTCACTACTCTCCGTCTCTCTCTCTACTTTCCCTCTCTCTCCATCCGCGTGCCATGAACACAAGGGCAATTGCCCGAAACGTCGGCTAGTATATGTTTCCCCGGGGGGGGGTGGAGTGAGGTGAGGTGAGGTGGGGTAAGGGGAGGTGTTGTTATTCACACAGAACGCCGCGCTGCTGAGTCATTGGCTTGATGTTTGCGTGAATTTTCAAATGACTCGTGCTGCCGAGATACGACGAGATTCGGCCCGCATTCCGTGCGGTTTAGTCAATGCACGCGGTGGAGGAGGCGACGGCTCTTTGACTATATTTAGACGTGGGCGTGGGTGTGTATATATATGGGCAACGTGAGTGGGCGTGGAGAGGCTGCAAGGAAATGGGCAAGTCCACCTCCGAAAGGAATTTCCGTCAGCCCCCGCCGCAGGGAGTGGCAGAGAGAGAAATACGGCAGCTGTTTCCTACTGCCCCTCCACCCTCCTTCCTTAGAGCCA